AAACTTGTTTCCGCTATTTTGACAACGTTATCAAAAACTCCCTAAAGTATCATAATTTCATAAAGATAACAACGTACTCTTTCCTGTGATGTGTAAGGATACGGCATTCATTTCATGCCGAGTTCCGGCCAAAATTCTATACAAAATAAAACAAGCGCATCTTTTCTCATCACATGAATTTCATCCAGCCAATCAAATAACCACGTAAATATCACAGTTGCTTAGCACTCAGCATAGTTACATAAAATGGATATTTAAGCACTTCCTTTAAAATTATTATGGCAACCAGAATAAAAACCGGGACATATTTTATTTTGATTACCTTGAATCCGCTCTCGACAATATAGATCATGGGCTCGTGTGATTCGTTATGATTTCCAAACAATTGATACGCTGTGGAAAATGTTTTTTGAAAAAACGGTACGATTTGGTAGTACTAACATGCATGTAGTCATTAAAATAATGTATACCTCTACTGATAAACATCAGAAAGAAATGACATGCAATAACATAAATGTTTAAACATTAAAATAGGTCTGTTTTGCTTACATTTCGAAGCTTGGTATCTTCAGGAAATTGAAGCGTGGGTTAAATATAGACTGTTTTTAAACGATATGATTTTTTTCAAACTTGTGACCATGTTCGATACTAGACCGGACACAAAACGTTAAGCAATTAAAAATAGCTCTTGTACAAAATATTTTTTTTTTAGTTTTTAATATACAGGAGCGGAACAGGCCTGTGTCTACAAGCCAAGTGTCTGTGATTGAAATTACAATACATGGTCATTACTAAATATAGTTTTTTTTAAATAATCAAATACTTGCAGCATTGATGAAAACAATAAAATGTACCTTGGGGAAGTTTAAGTGGGTTTAAGAATATCAAATCACTTAAATGTGTGACACTCATATATTCATCAAGCATAGTGTTATTTGCGAGACGTCAAGTAGTAATTTACCGCATCAAGAATTCCTATATAGATTTATACAGCATAAAATGTAACTACAATATACAAAACTCACTGAGCACATCAGTCATTATGTTTTACTGCATTTAGAATTTGTTTTTAGCTCACTTTACTGTACTGCAGTAAGTTGATTGTCCTTGTATTTCAAAGCATATCATCAAACAATCAACAGCATAACAATCCTTACCCTCACGATTATCACTGTAATTATCATAAGCATCACCATCCTCATCTGTTCATTCAGCATTATTCTGCTTATCAACAGAATCATCAGCTGCATGACTATTTCAATTATCAAGAAGACAATCGTGTTATGAGAAGCAAACAAATAAAAACCGTCATCAACATTATACCGATCATACACAATCAAAATCAGTCATCAAGAACTTTTGTTTTCAATTATTAAGATTACTACCATTACTATGAAGAATAACAAACTATTCACCACAATCAGTGAAGTTGCACACCAGTACTTATGTTCAGCTTAATATTTTACAATAATTAAGACCATATCCATCAGAATGAGAGCAGCATCAGGATGTCAACATCATAATCCCTGCAATTGTCATGTAGGAAGAGAATATTTGCGACTTGGCTAATACTCAAACCAGGGACTCTGGGAATACTGTTCTTCAAATTTTCTCACCTTAATGAAGTTAAAGGTGCTGTATTTTGACACACTCCTGCATTTCTGAAATTAATATTTTGCTATGGCCACAGATATTTTACATTTCTCAGAAACTTCTGAGATGCATTATATAATCACTGTCCCACTTTGGGTACCAAATGCCTCGGTGTGAAATATGTGCCAGACTTTTTTTACACATTTTAAACATTTGCCATCTGTTTTAAGGAACGGGCGCAACATGCATTTGTTATCATCACCATCATTCCAGTCATATTATCATTGCAATCAACATACTTTCAACAATCATCATATATACCATTTTTATCATTAACCTAGCTACGAAAGGTCTTTTTCCTGAAAAAAATACGTCTTAAGACAAGCACTTTTACCCCTCCGTTTAGTCTGGTACTCCTTGAATTTTGTATGGAAGGCAACTGGCCCGCAAAATACGCGGAGAAAGCATTATCTTTTTAATACAGACCATCTTCTTGCTACTAAGGATGGTTTTGGACATTGAACAGTTTTTGTGCTAACAGTATTAATTTCATGTTTTAGAAAGTGTCTAAATAGTCTTATATTGAATTGCTGTGTTGAATTGAATATAGTTTTTGTTTTATGTTTATTTTTGTCATTTTATTGCTTCGCACTTTTTGTGTATTTTTCTTGACATATTCTGTATAGAGTTCTTGATTTGGTCTATTCCATTACAAACATTGATATTGATAATTGTAAAATTGCCAGTTCCAACTAAGATGCCTGTCAGTTTATGTTTATTTTCTTGAAACTGCAGGATTTAAACTATAAGACTTTCCTCAGCCCTTTTTGTCCATATTGATCCTTGTACCACTGGGTGTTGGGCTGTTTTGTTTTAACAACAGGATGATTGCACACTGTGACTCCGTTATATAACGAAAGGCCGCTAAATGTCACACTTGACGCTAAATGTCGCACGATTTCCCCCAACCGTAGCATCATATTGTGCCGATAAATGTCGTAATTGTTACGATAAATGTCGCAGGATTTTTCACTTGCCGTTAAATGTCGCAATATTTTAATTCATGTAAAACAACTGGTATCGGTATTTGTATTTTTCCATATTATCATTATGTAAGTCATCTAAGGAATAGTAACCATCCACTTGCATACAAATTTAGTATAATTCAGTGAAGCACTGAATACAAAATTTAGAGGTCACCTTCTAATTGAAAATAACATTTAAGGACATGAATGGTGTCCGGGGTCAGTACTCTCAGTGCCCGAAATGGCTGATGGACTCTCTATAAGCCTAGAACCCATCCATTACATATAAGGTCTATCTATCCATCCATTCATCCATCCACCCACCAAATCCATCCATCCATCCATCCATCTATCTATATCTATCTTTCAGATAAGAAAGGATTTCCTGTCATGTCTAAAATATCTAAATTGATATTATTTGATTGAGGTTACTTTGGTCACGACTTTTAATGGCAATAACCGATGTAATAGAAAACTGTTGCACGTTAAGAGACCAGTCATTTGCCACACAGCCAAACTCAATCGTATTTTCGTTGGGTTTATCATGGATTAAGTTAGCATTTCAATGAAAAGGCAGTGTTTTTTAAGATTCTAGAGTAGGTAGAAAAATCTCCGCTAGAAATAAAATTTACCTGCTTTAATCATTATATTTTAAAGTATTTTATACTATCCTTTTGCAACACATGTCGATTACATTAGTTACATATACTTGATAGACTGAAAATTATTGTTCTGACATTTCCACCGAATTTTAATTGCAATCACTATTTATTGCTTTGATAAGCCATTGTATTGGGCGGGGAAAATGTATGTTTGAATGCATGTCATATCGTTAAGCTTTTCTTTTACTTAAGATCTGAGGGATCACCGTGGCTAAATTAACTCCTCTTTTATTGATACCTCTTTTTGTATACATGAGTGAACACGTCTCAGACATAAGAGACTGTATCATAACTACAGTAGCTACACATGTATTTGTAGATTAAAGTCTATAAGGTCTAAGTCACAAGGTACCATTTTGACTTTTTACTCTTTTTGCTACATTTCTTCAAAACATCACAATTTTCATTTCTTTCGATTTTAACATACTTAATGTATTTTTCATTGATAATTAAAAATTATTGGTAATATTCTTGCGTTTAATGCAACAGTTTAGTAAATGAGGTGTTTTCAAACTGGCCTTTTCGGATGAAATACAAAGAGAGCATTTAATGGTGTTCTACCTGAAAGATTAACTAAATCCCATTCTGACAGATTGATGCTGTTGAAATTAATGCAAAAATATGCATATGAGTAAAGGATGGAAATGCTCATGGTATTTATCGAATTTGGTATCGCCTGAATTTGTAACGTGCTACGTTAAATGGTATGTGACTTATCTAACCCAGACGAAGGTAAACTAGTCTGTGTTACATTGCAAATCGTAACCAAATACTTCATATTAAACACTCTTTGGAAACATTGAAGTCTATAATTCACAAACATCTAGCCGTGGAAGAGTTATGGAACGTCTTGACTGTCTTATGTGATCATTGCTTTTGCTATCTTGGCAGAATGATAAGGCCTTATGAAATAAGTGATCTCAGATGTTTTTCCTGGTTACAATGGATTTGAATATAATACAATTATACCATTATATTACACACGTACACTCACGGACACACAGGCAACAAGTACAGAAAATAACTAAATTTTAATAATTACATGTTATTGTTTTTACTGGGATATTGAACTCAGCGAACAAATTGAATGTGCCTTTAAAGATGATATATGTGACTTCTGTAAAAATAGTCAAGTTGATATTCAGATTGTAGAATGCTAGTAGGGGCGTCAGTGGCCGACTGGTTAAAGAAGTTGACTTCAAACCACTTGCCCCTCACCACTGTGGGTTCGAATTCCGACAGGGACTTTAGATTATTTCATGTGAGGAAGCTATCCAACTAGCTTAAGGAACGCCGGTTGTTCTACGCAGGTACCCGTTCGTGCCTGAAAAAATGCACGGAGAGGCACCTGAGGTCTTCCCCCACCAGTAAAGCTGAAACGTCGCCAAATGACCTATAGTGTGTCGGTGTGACGTAAAACCCAAATTAAACAAACAAAAAAGTAGAATATACATGAAATAAGGTTGAAACTAAAAGAAAGACTTAAAAATAAAAAAAAAAAACGTTGAAGCTTTAAACCATATTTTCTTACATGTTGTTCGCATGGAAGATGAATAAAAAAGTCAAGTGAATATAGTAAGCTTCAACTTTTTAATGTAAATCATTTACAGAATTTAAATTTGGTAAATATTTAAAATATTGTTAAATTATCACACTTGATTCAAATCAAGTAATACCGTTAACTTAGTCTAGAAAATTGCATTATATATCTATATTTTAGTTATGGCTTGTATGGTGCATATGGTTAAATGTTAGCAACCACCAGGTAGGAGGAGGTAACAGAATTTACATCATTCTTTAGTACAGATAGTAATGTAATATTTATCTTTGTTAAGTTAATTTAAAACGTAACAAGATTCAAATTAAAAGAAGTAATCATACATGAAGCAGCGAATAAGGTTGTGGTAGTGTTCATAAAATGAAATGCATGTTTTTGTTTCCATTACAGAATTTGATGAACGATGTACAACATATTGCGCATGCTGTAAAGACAAAATATGTGGACAAATGTATGGGTTTCCTAACGCTTGTACTGAAGGCTGTATTGATGGTTATAGAGGTGCTCGCTGTTATGAACTATGTACACACAATTGTACACAATGCTATTATCATGCAGATGAGTGTAGTGCGTGCTATGATGGCTATTATCCCGGCCTTGCTAGAGACTGCACATCAAAGTGTTTATCCGGATGTAGAACATGTACGTCAGGAACCACGTGTACATCATGCAAGGAGGGATATAATAATGACAATGGTCGAAATGATTGTAGTAATCGTAACTGTCCTGAAAATTGTAAATGTGATAACGGTCAATGCGCATCATGTAAGGACGGATATTACGATACCAGTAATAAATGTAATAGTTTATGTCCAGGGAACTGTGTCACGTGTTTGTCAAATACGGTTTGTAGATCGTGTAAGGATGGTTATTTTAAAGGTTACCAGAACGACAACATAAACCTCCCTTTGTTGAACGACTGTACATACAAATGCCGAGATAACTGTGTACGTTGCTCGTCCTATGATAGTTGCTCTCTGTGTATATCTGGTTTTTATGGATCGACATGCAACAACAGTTGTTCAGCTGGTTGCATATCAAACACTTGCGATATATTGACTGGAAACTGTCATTGCTCTCCTAATTTTGCTGGGGAAAGATGTGACAAATGCAAAACCGGGAAATATGGAAATATGTGCGATCAACAATGTCCTGAACCGTGTAAAGGTAACGTATGTGAAAAAGATTCTGGTGATTGTACAGACGGATGTACTATAGACACGTATATTGGTGATAAATGTGACGTTTGTTTAACCGGGTGGTATGGACAATACTGTAATATATCTTGTTCTGCCGGATGTATAAATCAGCAATGCGAGAAAAATGACGGTAAATGCTCCAATGGATGTCTTGATAACTTTGTAGGAAGGCAATGCAATCAATGCATACCTGGCAAGTATGGTGATGCATGCCACAGTGACTGTTCTGCCAATTGTGACAGGAACGAATGCATTAAAGACTCTGGAATTTGTATTAATTGCAATGAAAACTTTGTTGGAGATAAATGTGAAAACTGTTCTGTTGGTTTTTATGGTTCAGTTTGCTCTGAGAGATGCCCGAATAATTGTTGGAATGATGTATGTGAACGGGATACAGGCACGTGCTCTGATGGCTGTTTCAACAATAATTCGGGTGACAGATGTTGTATAAATAATAACAACTGTATCACATGTTTGTCAGATACTAGGTGTAAACAATGTAAGTCTGGATACTTCAATGACCAAGGTGACAAACAATGTCCTTCGAACTGTCTAAAGTCTTGTCATATCGAAACCGGTGTCTGTGATGGTTGCAAAGGTAATTTTTATGGTGAAAGTTGTAACTTTATATGTGCCTCTACATGCAATATTCAAACAACAGCGAATGGAAGTATATGTCAGCAAAGTAATGGAAAGTGTCTATATGGATGCCTAGATGGTTTCCACGGTTTACAGTGTTCTGAAAAATGTTCTGTTTATTGCAACGATACACTTTGTAAGCAAGACGACGGCAAATGTACAAAAGGTTGCAAACTGAAAGTAAAGAATGACAATATTTGCCCTCTGACATCCGGTAAGATTAATTCAAAGCAGCTCTTTTTTTCATCATATATTTGCTATATATGCTTTTCATTTTTAGCTATGCTATGTGTTAATGTTATATTATGTATTCTCTGTAAATTTGTAATGATGACGATTATGCTGTTGCCGCTGCTAATGATGATGAAAATAAGGATAATGATGATAATTTTAATAATAAGAATTATTAAAGTATCTGCGACAACAATTATACACATGTTTATGTATATAATAAAAAATACAATATGTGAAAGCCAATTAAAAACAATACATTTGGTAACATTTTATGTCTTGATGAATTTATAGTGATACACAATGTACTCTCTCTTTTTAATATGTCATAAATTATACCCATGTAGCACTCTTCTATTTCTAAGGTAAGATAATTGTGTTCTTTACCGATGATTCTTTAGACTTAGGTTCCTCAGCGCAGTCAGTAAATACAGCTGTTATATCACTTGGAACAATTCTTGCTGCGTCAGTAGTTGTTAACATCATATTTGTGGTTACGTTGTTTCTCCGGAAATATCGGAAAAGGTAAAGATTGTTAATATATTAAACTGATTTTTTGTCCAAGATAGAACTTGAAAGTTGCAAAAATACTGTACAATATATGAAATATGTCAAAATTCTAAAAAAAAAACTTTTCGCCTACTGAGTTCCACTTTCCAAAAAGAAGAAGAAGGGAGCTCTTGTCATGACCCTCTCGTTAGCTTCCCACGGCGTTGACATTGGTTAACCTTTTGTTAAGATCCTTTTTCTCGAAAACTGTAAAACCTAGTTTTCTCTTCAAACTTGGTATACATGTTTATTGTTATGAATGCACACAATTTCAAAAGTCATTTCTAATTTTTTTTTGCAAAGTTATGCCTCTTTTTCAAATTTTTAGCACTGATTTTAGCCCTGATTAACTTTTCTGCGAAGGTCTATTTTCGCAGACACTATACAACTTCAGACTTGTTATACATGTGGCAGAGCAGATAATCCGGAATTGACATTTCCAAAGATATGCACTTTTACTATTTTCCAAGGTCACTTTCTGAAAAACTGCCACACTTGTTGCATTTTTAAATTGGAATGCATTGCTAAAAGACATGTAACTCTATTATTTTTCACAGTTATACCCCCACTCCCCTCCTATTTATCTTAATTTCTTGATTAAGTTTTTGCTAAGTAACATTTCTATAAAACAATCAAAGATATTCAATTAAACTTAAGAGTACTATCAAATTTAAAATACATTTGTAGGAGTGAGATAAGCCTGTTTATGGTACTTTAAAGATACGATGTTAAAAATTATATTTTTTTTTAGCTTTTTATTTCCGCGTATTTAGAATCACTTTTATCCATTATATTTTCTTGTCAACATGAATATATTACAACAGTTTTTGAGTAATGCATATATATTAATGACAAGTCAAATGATCTAAAAGAAATATGGCCAATATTTCATTTACATTACAGGGTCAATGAAACTTACAAAACAAAAGGACCTGCTTATGAAAACTCTGGTAAATATATATGTAAATGTTATTTTTAACTTTTAGATGATTATTTTTCATCAAGAATCTTATGTTCTTCATATTAATTTTTAACATATTTATTTAAGCTCGATTGCGAAACAAGTTCTTGCACTAATATCAATCATTTTAGAGTCCGTTTCCTGGAACCAACCAGTCATGGTGTCATATAAAAAACGGGTTGTAACCCGAGTAGGGCTCGAATACATGCTCCCTGGATTTAGAGGCATACACCTTAACCACTAGACCACCGCTCCCCTTATATCTCCATTTACACGGTCAGTTCTTAATTAAATGACTTTCAATCTGAATCATATGTTCTTACCATTGAGTTTCAAGCGTAATAATTTAGATAAAATAGTATCGTAATTATTCAAATATTTTCATGCGCAATTACTTAGATAATTAGTAGCATAATTATTCAAATATTTTCAGGCATTGAAATGGAATGTGGAAGTTCAGCAAATGCTGGCAGTGCAAGCAAGCATGAAATAATACAAGGTATGTCTAGTTTTTTTTTCTAGACTTTTAATTGGCTTCTTCAGATCTTTCTGTGCATTTCATTTAAAATACTCGTATATTTAATTACTAACAATTTATTTCGTACCTATAATATCATAACATATCTTGAATATTTTTAAGGGTTTATCTTGATAATATTTAATATTTGGCATTTTAAATATTTCAATGTAGATGTACATTCGTGCTTTTTTGCATAACTGATTGTTCTGATGTTAAAATGGTGTGCAAATCATTTAATCGCATGTGAGATAAATGTGCGGGCATTGTAAGTTGTTATTTTTGTTTTTGTTGTTGTTGTTGTTGAAAAATAATTATGTATCCAAAGCGTAACTTGTATATTTCAATCACATTTTATAACCCGTTATCTTGTCAATAACTCTGTTAAGTTGCGTTGATATATTTCAAGAATGCCAGTATATGGAAAGGTTTATTTTTTAGCATCAAAGAGCAACACTGTGTTAAAGTCGCCTGACTATGAGGATCTCGAAAGAGTTCAAGGTATTTGTGAATTTGTGAATTAATTTTTAGATCATCGTATTGTAAAGTTGTTTAATGTAAACATATAAATTGTTTATATAAACTTTTCGTCTACATTTTAGTTGGTTTCATTAAATGATTTAAATATATCTTTCTTTTCGTTTCATTCTTTACAGTTTCTGAGCATGAATATGGAGAAATTCGTCCAGACACTTGATATCATTGATGGACTTATCACAGTAAGCACGTGCGAAGATAAATGGTCATCAACAACAATGAACTGTATTAAAATAGTCGGACTGAGAACAGAGTAACAATTTAAATTATAAACAATGGACGACATTATATCAAACACAAACTATTTCCTAATTGTATAGTGCTGTATATTTGTTTATATTTTTATGTGTTTAACACTATTGTAAATACTTTTTTAAAAGCATTTAAAACATTTGACTGCATGTTGATATTTTGATATCCGCTCTTTTAAAGACATAACAGTTCCATATAACGGATGTGCATACTTACATAATTAAATACCTCATTCATTTTGCTAAGTTTTATAAGTTTTGACATTCGTTTTGTACAACGGTGCAAGTGATTTTTTGTAATAAAATAAACAAAATGTCAAGTTGAACTGTTAGTGTATTTTTTGGAAAGTCTGATCTACAAATGACTCACTTGTGTATTTTTTTTTTTCATATGGCAACTGTCCAGCTTTACTAGTGGGAGAGACATCAGCTGCCCTTCCGTGCTTTATTAAATTATTTTAATTCTGGTTTAACGATGATATTACATTTATTCTGTTAATTGCTGATAGTATTGCTATTTTAAGTAAATCACCTGAAGACTTACGAAAGCTAAAATGAATTGCATAATTACTGGACTTTATTAGGAGTAAAAGTATACAAATGTTTAAAGTACGATTATGTTTAGTAGGATGATGGTTCTGATTTGAAATAACGAGCATTGGACATATAATGATATTCTTTAGTTGACAATTTCAATTATTAAGGTACTGTCTTTAACTATACTGGTAGTTTTTCTTCTTACTTTGAATCAAGAATATTTAGCAGGGAAATCTTTAAAGGCATTCAATTATTTGTTCAATTTTATGTATTTTAAAGTATCCTGTGAAAAAAATGGGGATTTGGTAAAAGTAAAGAATTTCGAACGAGCACATCTAAAATTTTGTAAGTCAATGTGTTAAGCATACAATAAGCAGCATGTCTATTTATAGTGAGCTGGAAAGGAACCTTTTATTTGTATATAGATATGTACGGATTATCAAATTCTGGTTTAATATTGTTGTAAAGTTTTGGTTCCACTTATGAGATTTTAATTGATATTTCGAGTTGTACTTGTGATTATTGGTTAAGAATTGCTGCACACCTTGGACTTGCTGTGCTCCTTAGTATTGGACTTGCTGCACTATTGGTCTTACTGCATTATTGAACTATGTAGCTACGCTTCTTAGACTTGCTGCGCTCCTTGGTCTTGCTGCACTGTATAAGATTTGCTGCAGTATTGGACATGCTGCACTATTGGACTTGCTACACTCATTTCACTTGCTACAGTATATTAATTTGTGCAAGTTTTTCTGACTTAGTTGCCATTTTCTCTTTAACTTTGATATATATACAATTTTCAACTTGATTGTAAATAAATAAATAAATGCATCATAAATAACGTAGCATAATTTTTGTCCTTTTTAGCTGATAATGATCAATGGAAAAGATAAATGAGATCGATTAAATACTCATGACCATATAAGCTAATACTTGACAACACTCGACAGTTACTCTTTTGCGACTTTGTCGTATTTATGAAACTTGTTTTTAAATATTCTTTTAAGGATAGGGAAGTCATGAAATTTAGCAAAGTTTTTTTGAAATTTGTATAAGGAAAAGAAACATATACATTAAATTGAGTGAAATAAAACAACATGTAAAACTGTTTTTAGGAAGTTATTTGTTTCTATTCTTAAACTTACAATGAACATTGAAAGGTATTTACACTAGATATTCAGCAATAATACGAGTCGTAGTTATGGTATCATAAGATGTTGTCGGTATTGTTTAACATTTATACACTTACACCCTCACCTCTGTAAGTTAAATTGCCACCGGGCACTTTGGAATTTTTCATGTTAGGAAGCTAACTGACTAGCTTACGTAACGTCGGTCGTTTTACGCAAATGCACGCTCTTTTTCTAAACTTATTATTCAACATATAAATATCATAAGGAGTATTGTTTGACAAAAAATAAGTGTTTATATATACAATGAAATAACCGAAATACAAAATCATAAAATTAAAGAAATATAATCACGCAAGGTATTAAAACTTTGGTCATCATGTTTTCATTAACTATGAATTCCAACAAAGAATAGAGAAAAACTCCCTTAAGAACATTCAAAACATCAAAATTGAAAATGTTTGCTTGTTTGATTCAGACTGTTCATGGAAGGTAGTTGTAACTGCAAACTATCCCCCCAACGGCATATGCTTCAATAAAATTCAACATTTTAATTTGAATAAAAGATTGCGGGAAAATCGCCAGGCTCAAGAAATTGATATGTACAAAAACACTTACAATGTATACAATGATGTTTTCTCTCACGTCGGTGTATGATCATATACATATATAGCATACTTCACGTATAAACATTAACAACAACAATATTTGAAGCATGATAAGTATTTCCATTAAGGTATGGGAAACAGGCCCTTTAATGAAAATGACACACACGCGTTCTACTGCGCAAAACAAAGGAAATTACAGCTTATAGTTATCATTGCTGTGAAAATTTATCCTTTTAGCGCAGTTATTGTCTTTAAATCAAGAAATGTGCTTTTAAGAATAAGATTCACAATACAGATTTATGACATTTACAGAATCATAAAATAATACGTAGGCCACAAAAAAAATACTTTCCCTTATCAGCATAAACTATTACAAGAATTGACATTTACATTTTTAAATAACAACGCAAAATATTGACAAAGTAAAAAATCAAACCATATTTCTAAGGGGTGGCCCAAAAAGCTAGTGACAATTTTGGCCCAAATTTTACTTTGTATGGCAATTTATGGGATTGTATGCCCAATGTATAATTTACTTCCTTTTAAACAAACCCTTTTAAATATTTTCTTTCAAATATATTTCCTTATTAAATTTTGGAAAAAAAGTATGGGTCTTTTAAGTATGCCTTTCTTTCTTTATGTTTTAAAGTTGTTTAATTTTTAAAGGGAAAATTTTTGTTTTCCCCAACCTTTTTTATAAAAACAAGGGCAGAATTTCCCAAAAGTTCAAGCGTTTAAGCCCACATTCCATACCCTTAAAAATTGTGTCAATTGAAGTGCTTCCGTAACACAATTACATATGAGTGATAATTTCCCTGGTTCTATTTAGTTTATTAATTTTTTATTAAAAGTAAACAAATACTCGGTAGTTCGTAACTGATAGAAAAACAAGCAATTATCATAGAATTGCAAGCAATTCATAAGTCCCCTACCGGTTAGAACCCCAGCAACATTCTGATGGGCCATTTGCCATTCAATTTTACCAGTGAATGAATGACATAGATTAACTTAAATCTTTTGAGTTCTAAGTTAGTCTATATCATAGTAATGTGTTAAGTTTCCCTGCCTAGTAAGGAAATTATGTTTATACAACAGATAATCAAAAGGTCCAATTTTTCTCAGGATGTAAAAGTATAACTAATGTTTTAACTTTTCTCTATTTTAAGTAATTTTTTTATACATATCATCCACGACATGCTATAATAAAAAGAAAATACTTGAAAAATATCATCACTTGAAAATAAATAACAATTAAAAGAATACATGTAATTATTGTTTTAATTAGTTCAAGTAAAGTAAGCCCTGAACGTTTTTTTTCTGTCCGTTTAAATAGATGAAATGAGATTTGCCAACTCAAAGTTTTCCTTAAAAATGTTTTGTCTTGGTACTTAATATACGATTCAAAGAGTGTTCTGTCAGAGGTTCAAGTATACCAGAACAAGTTTATCGTCGCAGTTTGTACATCAAATTTATGCTGTTAAAGTGAGTCTTTCCTACCCTTATCTTTAAACAATGGGAAACGGCATCATTTGGTGAACAATTGTGATATTTTAGTGCAGTAACAAATATTTTTTGCTCAGTTTCAACTGATGTGCGCAGTGTCTAAAAACTGCAAAGTCTTGATTGGACAGGACAGTTGACAATTGACAGTTTTGAAGCGCCTGTCGTATAATTAGAGAAAAAATTGGCAAACGTTTCTACGATTACGTCATTTGACCAAAATGTTGGAAATGTCATGTCACGGAGCCGCGCCATGACAAAACCAACATAGTGTGTTTGCGGCCAGCATGGATCTAGACCAGCCTGCGCATCCGCGCAGTCTGATCAGTCTCCATGTTGTTTGCTTACAAACCCTATTACGAGAAGAGAAACTGATAGCGAACATCATGGATCCTACTCAGACTGTCCGGATGTGCAGGCTGGTCTGGATACACGCTGTTCTCAAAAGCACTATGTTGGTTTTGTCATGGGTTTTGTTCTTTAGTGAGGGCGCGGATGGAAAAGCTTTTTAAAAATGATTTTGCGGAGGCGCGAAAGTCAGCATGCTTATTAGCGTCTAATGATAATAAAAAGTTCGCGTCCCCGCCCTTCTGTATTACAATTAAATATCCAACTTTTTGCACGCGCTCAGCTAATACCCATGGTTTCGCTTCACGCCCCCGCTTTTTAAACTTTTTAATTTTCAAGTTTTCGCTTGGCAGGATCGCAGAACGAAAACATGAATGGCATAAATCAGCCACCATAGTTTACATTATTTTCATCACATTTTATTTATATATCATTTAAAACAGGCTATTTTGCTATTATTACAGAACGATATAGTTCTGTATCAATGTCGCTATAATTGATATACTCATAATTAAATACTTTGGATCTATTTGCGTTTAAAGCATCATTATCGCTAAATTCATTAAAATTAAAGACATGAAAATTGTTTTTCATTTCAAAATCTTTCACACAATAATTAATATTGTAGCAAGCTATCACCATTATAATAAAAAACCTATTTCCAAAGCGACCGTTTGCCATTTTAAGGGAAGTAACTTCACCGTAGGGAACGTGTTACAGTATCGCGTTTTTCGGTTACAGTATAGAATTTTAAAGATGGAGGATTATTTGTTGGGAGGACAGGTAGGTGATTTTTATTCCGGTCCATACTACAAGTAGTTTAGTTTATAAAAGATGTTTTTGTGCTTTGCTTGTAAGGAACAGAATCCAGTATCTAGTCATATATTTCTTCAAACTCTGCACCGCAGATTTATCGTTATATTGTCTCAATAAATATGCAGATTTGACAGTTTTGAAAATTTGAATCGAGAGACCAAACCATTTTTCTTCCAATTTCGACATTATTTATGCATGCCTAAAAAAAGTAAATCTGCAAAACGTTAGTCCTTTATGTTAGGAAACGTTTATAAAAGTAAATGACCAGTTGAAACTATTTTCCTGTTCGTTAAATGCGTTTGAAAAAAATAAACAATGTTACAGTATAGAGCGAGGTGATTTGTGCAAGGTTACAGCATAGACCTAGCGACTGTTATCCGATTTTGTTACAGTTTATACTTAGATTTCGGTTACAGTTTAGACTTCGATATTTTCTATATATACTAGGTAAAATGTATGGATGTTACATAGACTTTTAAATCTCTGTGAGCTTATTGGCCCGATGGCTATTCGTCCGTCTGTCGTACACATGTGTGTTCAATCTCATCCGCTCAGTAACTACTTGACTTAATGTGATGAAATTTACATGACTTTCTACCTATTAGTTGTTCAAATGGTTTCGGTTGCAATCGGGGATACAGATTTTGAAAAAGGCAATGTTTAAAGACCCTTCTCGTCTCGAACCAAAAGCATTCAAATCAAATCATGATCATGGCGTCATTTCGAATGCTTCTTTGTTGAATTTACGATTATTTTGTCATTATTAAATTAAAACTCGTTTTTTTCTTATTTCAGACATTCTGTATAGCAGTTTTCATGAAATAATATTGAAAAATATAGAGTATTAATTAAGGTCAGACAATTACAATATCTTCTCTAGTGAGCCTGATGGAGGTACATAATAGTGACAGAGTCGGGATAAGGCCTTCGACTTCAAATTATCTTTCATTTACTGCTGTAGTTGAAATCCAATCATGACTTTGGATTCTTTGTATGTGAGGAATCTATCAAGCTAATTTACGGAAGGTCGGTGGTTCTAGTCAGGTGCCCGCCTGTGTCTGAAATGTTTCACAAAGGGTATCTAGGGTCTTTCTTTACACTAAAGCAGGAATGTTTTCACATGACCTCAGTGTCGTTGAAACTTAAAATCCAAGAAAGCCAAACGTAACAAACCCTTTTTAAATACTTACAAAATTCATTATTGCAGATGGAAATTCCAACTTAAAATAAAAGTTATGGTTGAAATATTGCTCACTTAAATACTGTTTAATCATTATTAGGGTATTGCCTGCTTGTTAATTGTGTCGTTTGACAGCTTATCTATGGTATGCAGGCTTCATAACCTCCGATTTCATTTTATTTAGTTTCACTCATTGTATTCTCGTTTAGGACACACGAAATTTTTAACCTGGGGGTAATATGCCGCTTTTCATAGAATGGCAATAACGTGTCACATTGAAGGTTCCATGATAACCGTCATATGAACACATCCACAGATGTTAAAAAATCTAAAGTGTACCAGTTCATGTTTAATGTGAATTCTGCTGAAACCGGTGCTATACGAGGCGTAGACGGTAGCTTGCAGTTACCACTACCGTCCATGAACAAGTTTAATCAAACTGATTCTGCAACATTTTCATGTTTTCCGTGTTGGACTTCTGTTAAGGATTCTTTTTTCTCTATTTTATTACTAATAGGCATTATATAATGTGTAATGAAATCAAGCAATAATCATTCTTCTCTCAATACAATTCGATAAAAGTTACTGTTGTTGTCGTGAAAACAGTCCTTACTTAGGACATTACTTATTCTGCAAAAAGTCTCAATCTGAAACTTAAAGTAAGAAAAATAGCAAACTATAACTTTTCTGCTGAAGAAAAAAAGTAATACAACCTTTCAAGAATGTATTAAATAGAAAGGTATGAGTTATTTCATAAAAATAATGGATACACGAACTTTGTTTGAAATTTGGCAAGTATCTAAACTGTAACCGAAATCTGGGTATAAACTGTAACAAAATTGGATCGAAGTCGCTAGGTCTATGCTGTAACCCTTCAAAATTAACCTCGCTCTATACTGTAACATTGTTTATTTTTTCAAACTCATTTTACCAACAGGAAAATAGGTTCAACTGGTCATTTACTTTTATAAACGTTTCTAAACACAAAGGACTAACGTTTTGTAGATTTACTTTTTCTAGGCATGCTTAAATAATGTCGGAATGAGGAAAAAATGCGTTGGTCTCTCGATTCAAATTTTTAAACCTTCAAATCTGCACATTTATGAGACAATATAGAGATAAATCTGCGGTGCAGGGTCTGAAGAAATATATGACTAGATACCGGATTCTGTTCCTTACAAGCAAAGCACAAAAACATCTTTTAGAAACTAAACTACTAGTAGTATGGACCTGAATAAAAATCACCTACATCTCTTCCCATAAATAATCCTCCATCTTGAAAATTCTATACTGTAACCGAAAAACGCGATACTGTAACACGTTCCCTACGGTGAACTTTGCTCATGTCTTTTATTTTATTACCATATCAGTTACTCCCCTTATCTATTGAAAATCTTGGCAAGTATGTATCAACATAAATATTATCGGAGTCGATGTCTGGCACTAATTGATTATAATATGTAGTCATGTTTTCATGATGTATTTGCATTACAATCACCTGAGATTATTACCATGTCTTTTGACTTAAAATGTTCTATAATTATCATTTTGCAAACAGTTGAATAAATATATATCTATCAAATTTGCAATTGGTGAGTATTCTCCCCATAAATAAAATGCAGATAATAAATGTCAGAAGTTTTATTAAAGAAATAATTGTGAAACTTAAACCAGATAATCCTGTTATGTATATTTTTACTTTTTAAATGATTTAACATTATTCCTGTTGTTCGCAATACGAGAAAGAAACATTAGAAAAATTCAATATGAAGCTGCCCGTGTTGTTACAGGATTGACAAGATCCGTTACTATACAAAAATTATTAACAGAAATAGGCTGGATTTCGCTTTCAGATAGGAGACATATTCAAACATTTCTTTTGATATACAAAGGCAAAAACAATTTCTACAACTTTATTTAATGCAATTATTTCCCCCATCTGTACAATATGCACATGGAAACCCATATTCTTTAAGAAACAATTTAGACTACGCATCAATTGTCAGAAGAACAGGAATTTATTCGAAATCCGTTTTACCTTCAGCACTACAACTATGGAATAAACTTTCAATTAATATACGTGAATCAGAATCCTCCATTCCTTTTAAGCAAACATTAAAAAAATATTTAAATCCCCATCGGTCCCTTCATTTTTCATTAAAGGTGAACAATTCTCTACTGTACATTATACTCGTTTAAGAAACAACTGAAGTAACCTTAATTCGGATCTATATTACAATCAAAATTTTGTATATGTGGAGCACACATTGAAAATTCAGAACACTATTTTTTAATGCAAATTATACAGTGAACAAAAACGAACATTGTTTTTAAATACAAGATCTTTTTCATCCTCATAGTGTATAAAAATAGAAGGGCGATCTGAATCCGAAAATGAAATTCTTTTTAAAGAAATACAGACTTTTATTAAATCAAGCAAGAGATTTAATTGAATAAAATCTAATCATTCTACTGCTGAAACAGTACTTTAAGATTAAACAGGGTTTTGTGCGGTGAATATCTTCGTATTTATTTATTTATTATTATTATTATTTTGCAGTTTTTGTAACTAATGCAAAAATTTTATTATTTCATTCTATTATTTATTCCTTTTTCTTAACATTTGATACTTAGATCACTTAATTCAAAAGCCATAAATAACTTTAAATGGAACATTATTGACTTTTGAAACTTATACTTTATACATTTAAGATAATTAAATAACTAAATTTAATCATTCTTAGTATCATAATTTTATTATAGTGCTTATCTATATTTCTAATTTTTGATATATTTTTATCTCTATTAATTGTTCATTTGATTTATTTATATTTACATATAAAACATTTGCTAAAATTAGTTCCTGAAAATTTGTTCCTGAAAATTGATAATTATTTGATATCACACAACTTTATTCAAATAGTATAAACTTATTTCTGCCTAACCTCAGGGAAGGGCCCACGATAATGTTGTTAGAACTTTTAGCCCAACCCTTTTGTAAGTACACTTGATTATGTCTGTAAAATAATGAAATTGTATATTGTGTGTATATTAATACAATAAAATATTATTAAACTAAACATTTTACCGGAGATAACAATATCAGCGCTATTTCTTTAAGCTTTTCAATGTCTGAATTTACGATATAAATTATTACTTGAAAATCCTTCCAACTCTATATCATTCCAATAACTAGAAATAAGTAGAAATGAAAAGGCAAAAAAGCGAACCAAAATTACTTAAGCTAGACTACCGTATTGCGTTGCATATCTCTACATAAATAAAGACATATTTGAATGCATATTGTCATTTTGTTCTGTACATGCGACGGACGCTATAAAAGATCTATGTTTTACACGTTCACGGACCATATATTATAAGTATGCAATTTACACGTAAATAAAATTCAGGAAATATAACATGATAACAAGAAATGATAGATGATATTATTTATTTCCTCTTATAGGAAATGGGTTATTCAGGAATTAATCTTAATTCTCTATTTCTATAAACAGAATCCGCAGTTGTAAGAATATTGATTTTCGTTTTATCAATATACGGAGTGATTATAAATCTCAGTATTGACATGGTACTAACAAGTTCCCGTATATAAGTCAAATACAGATTCATAAACGATCCCGAACATTTCCGCATTTACCCGCATATTAATGATACATGTATACGGAATTCCGTACATCCATATTTTTTTTTGCATTGCGCGCCAGTGACATAATTAAACTTCATGACATTACAGTATACTCTAAGTTTAAACCGTGTCAAGCCATATGATCTGCATAATTTTTAATAAAATAACAAATAACGAAATATTGTGGTGCTATTATACATAGGCTTTTAACTATTTCTTACATGTGCCATTCTCTGTTGATGAGAAAACACATAAGTTTTTTTGTTTTTTTTTTTGTTTTTTTTTTTTCAAAATTTTAAAATGGATTTTAAAGAACGATGTATTGCAATAAATGTTAGTTCATCAAGTATATAACCTGCCTATTTTATTCAGTGTTTTAAACATTATACTATAGATAATCGTTCAACCGTTAAGATATGATAATAAGACATGATTTGAACCTCTTATTGTTTATAACACACACACACTTGAACAGATCTTTAAACTTCCTGCTTGGGAAAATAAGTTTTTATTTGTCAACAATTGAGGTTATATTGAATGTTCCGTTGGGATTGTTTAGAGAATAAATAATTCCTATTCCTTTATTTGGAACAATGACGTGGAGTTTAAAATTGGTACGTAGATACATTTAAAACAATTGATTTAACTTTTCATATACAGTATCCTTTTAAATGTTGTTTGTATTGAATTCAACATACTGTTTAATGCCGTAAATGACATGTTTTCATAGGGCGCATAACACATAACAATTGTTTGAAGGTATTTGTAGAGACTGAATTATGATAAGGTATTTCCTCCACAAAATCTCAAATATTTTAGATTATTTCAAGTCTATTCCATCTATATGCACACTTGATATCATTATTCATGGTATCGGTTTGTCGTAAGCTTTATTACATGTTCATGTTGTGTATATGGATTTTTAATTAGATGTCAACATTTTATTACTGGAAAATTTTAGCCGATATGTTCCGTCGTACGGAATTCTCATGCCGCGATATTTTGATATGACTATATTAAATTAACAAATTGTTTGTTTATATAAAGAAACAATTACATATGTTGATATTAACATTAGAAAATATGAAAATGGTACCCTGCATTCAAATGTTTATGAAAAAGATAGTTACAGTCATCAGAACATAGTATTTTCATCATGTCACCCTATTTCTTGTAAAAAGGATATTCCGTTTAGTTAAGCTAAACGCTATAAGCGTAATACTTCTGATTATGAGGTTGCAATTCCCCCCTTATTTACTACTATTGTTTATCAAATAATCACTGTCTATCCTGCTGTATCTCTTATACAAGTAATCATCCTATTTATATATGTACAAGTTTTAAAAATTGAAAAAAAATGCATTTTGTCATATTAAATTGTATAAATGCATATAAAATGTAAACAGTATTTTAGTGTTATCTTGATTTGATATCTAATAATCACAAGTCTTTAATCATTGTAACTGGTTATTAGCTATCCTACCGCATAAATACAAGTTATATATACTTTAAATCCTGTATATCATAATATCAATAATAAGTGCAAATTCCACAGCATATAAACGATTTGAACCTCAACCAGATCTTGTGAGAAGATGTCAGTGTCAGCCATTTTCTGCCGCTTTACTTGTTTATTATATTGGTATTTATGTTGATACTGTGAACGTTAGGTTAGGTTAGGTTAGTTAGTTAGTTAGTTAGTTAGTTAGTTAGTTAGTTAGTTAGTTAGTTAGTTAGTTAGTTAGTTAGTTACTTAGATAGTTAGAAGAGAAACTTAATTAAACATCTTTGTTATGCAAAATATAAATGTAAGCATTAAGGCTATAAAATAATCGAAACTCACGAACTGCTGTCAGGTCATCAACACTGAACACGAACAAAAATCCGTCTTACTTCAAGGTTGATTTGGTTAAACATTTGAATTTTGATATCGTACTACACTACTAAAGTTATCAATAACAAACGATAATTTAATCATCTGCAAAAAATATTGCTGTATTTTGAACATTAAATTAAAAGTTTTAACAGGGAGGTCAATTCCATAAACTGAACGTTACTTACTGGTGATTGTGAACCCTACTTGTGAGTTTACAAATTTTATCTGTACCCTGACTTTTGAGTATTGTAACGGAGAAAACGTTTATGATCAAAATTTGGTTCCACAGATCCCACATTCATTTTGCGTTTCATGGGCGTGCTTTGACTGTTTACACTTAGCTACTGTCAATACCCTCAATACATCTACAAATGATACATCGAAATCCATCTGAAATACATGTATATGGCAATTTATAGAAATGAACTGGATTTATATGTACATGTAGACTTCAGATAACTTTAGCCAATGATAAACTTTTTAAGTTGAGTGAAAATAAAACTAACACGTTACCTTATGTATACACTGGAAGGACTTTAAATTATTTACAAATCAGTGAAAATAAACTTGTAAGAGTGAAAACTAACTTTTAAACATTTAAGAACAATATGCAGGAAACTCCTTAAATTAATTTGTTAAGAGTGATCCTAGTCGTATATGTCAGAAGTTGAAAGTCAATGCATATTTGAGAATAAAAAAACGTGTCTAAAAAGCACAATTGAAATCAACGGTAGGTGTAAAGTTGTTCAACATGTTGAAATAAGTAATCTGCCAAAAATTCCTGTGATAACTTTTGAAAAGATTAAAACGTGACGTAATATAACGATCACGTCAAAACTAACAACAATGCCGTTGATCTAATAGTAGAAACGTTTATAGTACTTATATTATAGCTTAGTTTTATATTATTCCATTTACTTGTAAATGAAGAATAGCTTTGTTATCATCAGCTACTTCATGCTTGTATTTCTGTAGACAGTGAAAACATGAAGAAGCTCCATTCATGTGCAGCATTAGTTACTTACATAGAACTAAAAGATGTGTCATGATCTTGTGGCACAATAACTTCATGTTCTGCACGATAAAATTTGGAACCAAGGACAAAACCCATAAAAATCATCAAAAGTGACTAGCAAGTTATGGTTCAGTGAAAACACAAGTAGGGTACAGATCATTAAAATTGTTTTAGTAAGGCGGGTACAGTTATCAGAAAGTTCGCGTCTATTATTTACTATGTTTAATCAATATTCAGAGATATCTACACAAGTGTCTGTCCGGTAACATGAGGTAAGGACAATAAAGTTAAGATTCAGATATGAGTTATAGTGAAATAAAACTATTGTATGCATAAATCTGCTTGTGTAAGATAAAAACAAAATATGTAGTGAATGGCACAGCGGTTTTGCACATATATTTAACGAAGCAGGTCATGGATGCATATATAACACGCCCGGCAAATGTAGTTAAAGAGACTTCAGCGTTTTATAGTACTGCTAGACCTGTTCGCTGAAGCCAATCCCGTATCGAAAGTTAACCAGAACCGTGACATATATATGTCATGCTGAAATTCAATAAATGTGCGTGATCTGGACAAAAGCTATTTTAACACAGGTAGTTAGATATATTTCGGACACTTCAGTCTATATTTTTGAACACAGAACGTTAGATTGATGAAATAATGCCTCAAAGCTAATCAGTGGGTTCTCATTTCATAAAATTCGCCGCCATTGCTGTCCTAATTATCAAGTGACTAGCGGGAATTTAGGTTCGGATACCTTTGCATGACATTTGGCGACACGTGACCAAAATGCTATTTTTAATTGAAAACATGGCTTCTGCAATTATGAATAACGGTGTATTTATTCAATAACAGACATTGTACCAAAAACATGTTGGATTTATATTGTTTTGAGTAATGATTCATGAATTATAATTTGTTTGTTTTTATTTAAAAACGTACACTTACTAATAATAGAGTATGGTCCGTTACTAAAAATAGAGGCTAGAATTCCCAAAACATGAAGTCCCGCGAGATTTCATTTGAAAGCAGACTCCATATTGGTAAACATTCTCTACATATTTCCCTAACAAATAGTTGGGTACACAATGTCATTGAAGTTTCATTTAAAAACAAAACATGAATTGATTCAAAATAGATTTATTTATCAAATGCATATTTTTATTTGATCCAAATTTGATTAATAAGGGTGATTTTAATAGGTTTTATGTGCGGCACACGAACTGCAAAAATTCTGGTAGACTTTGCAAATAGGGTTGACCCATAGCTTTACTATCGCACAACGTCAAAATAAAAGCGACATATAAAGTTATGGAAGCCAGAACTAGGCAAACTGTCGCTCCACTTCAAAATTGTGGTGTGCGGTAAAACGAGCGAACGGCATTTCCGAGATAGAGCGGAATGCCGATTTCAACGGATAATTGTAAGTGTTGTTTATGTTTTTGTCTTGTTATTCATTTAAATTGTATTTTTTCGAAAAACGGAAAATGTAGTCCCGTGTAGGATTGTTTTAGGCTTTCAATGATCTAAGCTGTAATAAAAACAAAATTATATTTAGCCCGGGAGAACTTTTCTCCCTGACGAAGCGAACGACGATTTGTAAAATATTGAACCTACCAACCATTAAAATGCCATACCATTCGGATTTCTTTAAAAAGTGTATTAGAAAGATATCAACCCATAATAAGAACTTGTCCTTCGTGCAACATAAATTACTCCTGAAGGATTTCGCAAATTTGTAAATCGATATTTTTCGAAAGTAGTGGAGCCAAAGGGCAAGAGAAGGAGCGAAAGGTTCGATGTTGAGCACAATGCGATATTAAGTTGGCATATTGGGAGGAGCGTGATCTATGATTATTTATATATAAAAGCTTTGGAAGTTAAAATAGACATGATCAAATGTTGTGACTGAGATATATATACTTTTAAAGACAATTAATAAAGCATGATATCATTTCAACGACTATATCGTAATAATTGTTATCGCGAAGGTGTCACCAATGGCTGCCGTATAGATTCCATTATTTATGTTCCAAATGAGGCCCGATCATTGAATCATATGGCGTAAAACAAGTTCGAGGTCAATCATGATTTTTGACACGGTTATGTACATTTAAAAACGTGTGTCCGTGCAAATTCGACAAAATCGAATATTTTCAGTTCTACCGCGAACAAATGTTTCCGAGTAGGTACATGTAAAACGATTGTTCCCGCCAAATGTTATGTTTTTCGAAATGTTAGATATTTAAGGTGCAGAACAGAGACACAATTATGCAATACATTGGGCACATAAAATGGATCACTACTACCGAGTTCATTTTACTATGACTTTCTGTAATTAATAGCTCTAACGTACATGTTCAGATCAAACACAAATAAGCCACGTTTTCATGAAATATAAATACTTTTGTAAGGTGGGGAATCTCTATGAAAATGGTTGACAAAGTGTCAGTCGTTCTAAGGATATAAAATATGATAAACAAGAAGAAAGGCGGCGTTCGATGAACGAAACACCTACGCGACCCAGCAACAAGAACCGTGGCCAAGGAGCTCAGGAGGCCCTCAAGCAAAAAAAAAAACAGGTCAGGGCGCCATGCGGAGCACGGACAGGTCAATTACTAATTATAAAATGAAACATAAAAAGAAATCATAAAAACCGACAAGGAAAACAAAGATAAATGACTGCTTAACAGGCTCACAAAATAAAGGGGCATAGGGGA